CTGCCTCTGCTTCCTGAGTGCTTCATGCTGGGATTAAAGGTGTGTGCCGCCACCACCACCACCACCACCACCACCACCACCACCACACGGCCTTATATTTGATCTTTTAATACAGAGTCTCATTTTGTAACCTTCCCTGACCTGGAACTTGCTGTATAATCCACACTGGCCTTGAACTCAGTAATCTTCTTCATTCAACCTCTTGAGGAGCCACCACACCTGGCTCTCCAGGATAATTTTAAGGCATCATGTTTTTAAATTAAGTAAGAAATATATAGACAAACACACAACGCACCCATCAGAGGAACATATATCCATACCTTCGAAGAGTCCTCGATGGCTTTGTGTAAGTTTTTTAGTTTCAGGTGACAAGCAGCTCGATTCAAATACAATAATGGAATCTTACTGTTTAATCGTATGGCTAAATTATATGCATCAACCGCTGCCAAATAGTTTTCTGTTGCGAACAATTTGCTAATGAGACAAAAAGGAAAGACCAGTTTAACATCGGAGCAGACATGGAGAAATTACATCTACCCTACTTGGCAGCCAGATAGATGGCGGCTTTATTTACTTCCTGTCTGCTAGAGACTTTGTGCTGCACAAACTCCATCTCTCTAAATACACCAAGCATGTGCCTTGAATAGGACGGATCCCCCTACTCAAAAACAGTCATCAGTGGCTTAATACAGCAACTGTAGGTCTAGCTTCGTGATTCAGTGATTTATTTAGGGATGGGAAAGGGGCTTAAACTGGCCCGAATGAAGCTGGTGGTTTTGGTCTCCAGTTGGAGAGTAAAAGTTAGTAAAACTTCTCCCCCTGCTGGATGTGAATAAGGAGAGCACACAGAGCAAATGCTGTTGTTCATTTTTACCCACAGGAGGAACTAGTTACAGTAAAGCTGGTGCAGTGAGAATAGGAAAGGAACAGGAAATGGGGACACAGGAAATAGTATTCAGGGGGTTGGGGTAGTGCACTGCAGACATTTGCTAGGCCTACTCTGAGCTTGACACACGTGTCAACATATCTTCATTAAAGAGCCCACATCAACCAGCCTAGTGATGCAGATCTGTAATCCCAGCTGCTTGACAGACTGAGGTACAAGGACTGCAAGATCGAGCTTTACTTGGCCTACGGAACAAGGTGAAGGGCAAATTGGGCAACTTAAACCCTGTCTCAAAATAAAGAAGTAGGAGCTGTAATCCCATCACTTGAGGGGGAGAAAGGAGGATCTAGAGTTTAAGACTCTATTGCACTACATAGCAAGTTCTCCAGACTGTGCATGTGAGCCCCATGTCCAACAAACCAACAATAAATGAAATAATAAATAAAAATGGAGAAATGCCTGGGGATAGGATATAGCTCAGTGTTTTAGCATTTGTTTAGAAGAGTGAGGCCCTTGATTCAATCCCCAATACCGCAAAAGTCTACTGGATAGACAGACAGAGTGCACAAGCCAGCCAGTCAGCCTCCATACATCTTAGTGAAGGGACACATGCCCCTTCAAATTAGCATCAGAATGGAGAGGGAAGAAATCAGCATTCTGCATATTTTAAAAAATAACATGGGCATGGTGTTAAAGACCTGTAATCCCAGAATGTGGGAGGCAGAGGCAGGAGTACTTTTCCACAAGTTCAAAGCCAGTTTGGCTATATAACAAGTCACATGTCAGCAAGGGCAACATCAGGTCTCATAGGATCCTCCTCCAGAGAAAAAGGAACCTATGGGGCAAACAGTAAGACACAAGACATTTTAGCCAATAATGGAATGAGTACTGATCCTCAAAGAGTCTATCACCTAGTGATAGCAAAGCCACCTTAGTTTGCATAAGCACACCTACAGCTTTCAAAAACAAAAGTCACCTAGTGCCATCTTTCTCAGAACAAGCAGCACATGGCAATGTAGACAGGTAGAAAGAGGTGTACACTGTAAGCAATTGGGTCAAGCAACTATGGAGGCCTAGGAGTACTGACCTCCATCTGACCACTACATACCAAGAAAGCACTGGTATTGGTAGTTCTAGCTCAAGCCCCAAAGCCCAAGAACCAGGGGGTGTGACAGATTCAGTACATGACAAGTGTGAAGGCTGGAGTGAGAGGAGCGCTGACATGCCAGCTCAAGGACAATATTTTTATATACTAACAAAATAGGAAAACTAGTAAAACAAATTCCCCAGAGGCATGATGGCACATGCCAGTAATTCCAGCATTCAGGATGCTGATGCAGGAGGATCGATTGTTGTGAATTCAAGACCAGTGTAGCCTACCAAAAAGGCAGGCAGCTGGGGGTTGGAGAGATGGCTCAGCAGTTAAGAGCCCTGGCTGCTCTTCCAGAGGTCCTAAATTCAATTCCCAGCAACCATATGGTGGCTCACAACCATCTGTAATGAGATCTGGTGCCCTCTTCTGGCCTGCAGGCAGACATACAGGCAGAATACTGTATACATAATAAATAAATAAAAAAAATCTTTAAACCAGGTGTTGGTGACACACGCCTTTAATCCCAGCACTCGGGAGGCAGAGGCAGGTGGATCTCTGTGAGTTCGAAGCTAGCCTAGTCTACAGAACGAGCTCCAGGACAGGCTCCAAAGCAATACAGAAAAACCCTGGGGGGAAGTGCAGGTAGCCACTCTAGTTACTGCCCAAGACTGCTGCTCTTTGGAAAGTGTACTCAACTGATTTTCCCAGGGAAAAAAGTCCTAGAAAAAAAATGGGAGAAATTCTCCTCTGCCTTTTGTTAACACATGCTAACCACCAAGTACTACAACAGAATAGGATAAACTGTAAAACACAATCAATGGGAGGCCTGCACCTGGTAATGCCAATTCTAACATCCAATCCTTGAAGCAGTGTGAGAAAACCGGCTGTCTCCGTAAACCAAATTTGTTTAAATGCAGTATCAAAGGTAGGTTTGCTGTTCTGAAAGCATATAGGCACATGGCTTAAAATGCAACTCTCAAACTACGAGTGGTGGCTAATAGCTACAATCCCAGCACTTTGGAGGCTCAGGCAGGAGGACTGCCACAAGTTCAAGGCTACACTGGGCTACAAGAGACCCTGGCTCAACAAAATAAAAAGACAGTTCTCCATGGATCTTCTGTGATGATCTTGTGGTTTTGGGTTAGGGGTGGATCTGTGGGTTGAAGCCAGGACCTCAAGTGTCATATATGGGAGGCAAGTTCTCTATCACTGGGCAGCACTCCCAGCTGGCACCATGACTGCGAAGATGCTCGTGTAGCATACAGCTGTGGTTATACAGCTGTGGCAGAGAGGGTCTCTGAGAAAGCAGCAGATATGTTTGGATAGCAAACAAAATAATCTCTCTGCAGGGCAAGATAGCAGGCTTACTGTAACTTTTTTACACAAAGTGTGATCTTTAAGCTTGTCCTCGATCAGCTGTGGTGGAGACCTACTGTGAGTGCCACGCCCGCCTGCCTGCCTCTGCTCTGGCTCCTTGGGACTAGACCAGCAAAGGGAATGTGCATGAAGTATATGCTGCTTGTTTGCTGCCGTCCCTTGGAGCTGCCTGCCTTGATTGGTAGTTGGTTTTGTTTTAAGACGGGGTCTCACCATATAACCCTGGCTGGTCTGGAACTCACTATGAACACGAGGCCAGTCTCAAAGGCATGGCACACCCAGCCTCACCTCACTGGGATCTGGCACTCCTAACCAGGTTAGGATGACTGGCCAATGAGCCCCAGAGATCCACCTGTCTCTGCCTTCCCAAGACTGGGATTCAAAGCATGCACCACATCCTTAGCTTTTTACATGGATTGAATTCATGTCCTCAGGACTGCACAGAATCTCCCTAGTCCTATATGTATTTTTTTATATTTTATTTTTGTGTTTATGAGTGTATTGCCCTGTGTAGGTATGCATGTATACCATGTTTGTGTCTGTGCCTGAGGAAGCCAGAAGAGGGATTCAGATTCCCTGTAACTTGAGTTACAGACAGCTAGGAGCTGCCAAGTGCTAGTAACCAAACCTGGATCCTTTGTAAAAGCAGCCCGTGCTCTTAACTTCTGAGCATCTGTCCAGACCCATATATATTTTGTTTTGTTTTGTTTGTTTGGTTCTGGTTTTTCAAGACAAGGTTTCTCTGTATTGCTTTGGAGGTTGTCCTGTAACTCACTCTGTAGACCAGTCTGGCCTCGAATTCACAGAGATCTGCCTGCCTCTGCCTCCCGAGTGCTAGGATTAAAGGCGTGTGCCACCAACACCCAGCCTATATATGTCATAAGGCAGCTTTTCCATTTAAAATTAAGACATAGCATTAAAAGGCTAGGTAAAGAAAAATGCAAACAGTTCTTAGTTTTGCTAAGAACCTACTTGTGAGGTGCCATAGTTCTTTAATAACTGTTCCTGTGAACAGCCTGTCCACTTCTACCCTTTCGTAAAACCCACATCCCACAGTCCCATATGTTTAAGCAGGAGGACATCTGAAAGCCTGGGCTGTGTATCTACTGCTAGGCATCAAGTCCAGTACCAGAGCAAGACTCAAAAGAAAAAAATGAAGCCTCCTGGCAAGGACCCTAGGGTCTAGCCTGCCTGGTCCTGTTCTCAACCCACGAGCTACTTTGCATATTTCCACTCCTTTCTGTCACACCCTTTCCCTCACTCTCAACTTTTCTACAAAACTTGGTGCAGGAAGAATGGTGCTGGCGTACATCTTGGTGGAAGGGCAATCAATGCTCCTGGCATGGGCAAGGCTCTGCTGGTCACTACTAGCACTACAAAAGAAAAAGAAAACAGAAAATACAATTCCCCATCTCCTAGTCTCCCTATGTAGCCCTGGATGGCCTAGAATTCACTGTGTAGACTAAAGTAGCCTCAAACTCACAGACAGCCACCTGCTTCTGTCTCCTGATTGGTGGCTTTAAAAGCCTGTGCCAGCACACCTGGGTTTTTTGTTGTTCTGTTCTGTTCTGTTTTGTTTTTTAAAAGGGTCCCTTTTCTGAGGCTGGTCTCCAATTCCATGAATAGCCCAAATTGGCCTTAAACTCCTAATCCTCCTTCCTTTACCTCCCAAATGTTGAGATTACAGGTATCAATCACACCCAGAGTGTGGAGTGATAAGGATGGAACCCTGGGCTTTGTGTGTGCCAGGCAAGCACTCCACCTACCCAACCACATTCCTTAGGCTCTGTACTGCATTTAACTGCCTCATTAGACTTACTAAATACTAAATACAGGGGGCTGGAGAGATGGCTCAGAGGTTAAGAGCACTGACTTGCTCTTCCAGAGGTCCTGAGTTCAATTCCCAGCAACCACATGATGGCTCACAGCCATCCTTTATGAGATCTGGTGCCCTCTTCTGGTGTGCAGATATACATAGAAGCAGAATGTTGTATACATAATAAAGAAATAAAATTAAAAAAAATTACTAAATACGGACCTTGACCTACCTGTCCTAATTAGAGTTTTGTTGCTGTGATAAACACCATGGCTAAAGTGGCTTGGGGAGAAAAGGGTTAATTTCATCAGCCAGCTTGTAGTCCACCATCCAGGAAGTCAGGGCAGAAACTCAAGGTAAAAACCTGGAGGCAGGAACTAATGCAGAGGCTGTAGAGGATCCACACTTACTGGCCTTTTTTTTTATTTGTTTGTTTGGTTTTGGTTTTTCCAGACAGGGTTTTTCTGTGTAGCTTTTTGGAACCTATCCTGGCACTTACTCTGTAAAGCAGGCTGGCCTCAAACTCACAGAGATCTGCCTGCCTCTGCCTCCCGAGTGATTGCTCATACTTTCTTACTGTACCCAGAACCATCTGCCCAGGGGTAGCAGTACCTGGAGTAAGCTGAGTACTCCACCTCAATCATCAACCAAGAAAATGCAACACAGTAGGGGCACTTTTTCAATTGAGGTTCCTTCTTCCCAAATAACTCAAGCTTATGTCAAGTAAACATAAAACTTCCAGCAACACACACACACACACACACACACACACACACACACACACACACGCACACACACACAGAGGCTCGGGGTCAATCTATGCCTGGAATGTGATGAGCCTAGTGCAGAATGCAGAACACTCCGACAACTCACTTCCCCTTTTCTTTCAGCCAGTCTGGATTCTTCTCTTCTTCCTTCAAGTCACAGAATTCAGGAAGATCAGTGCTCATGGCTCTTCGGGCCTCTGCTTGTTTATGCAGCCACTACAAGGAGAATATACGGTTTGGTGATGGACATCATCTACGCTGGCCACTGCAGTCAACCTGAGTATCTGGCAATCACCCTGGAGAAGGGCCTCTAGCATGCCTGGGGGGGAGGGGTTATCCTGATTACATTATCTACTGGTAACAGACTCATTTTAACTGTGGGGGAAGCCATTCCTGGATAGAGGGTCCTGGACTGTGTATGTGGAGAGAGTTGTAGGAACAGCATGCATGTTCTCACTCACTGAGCAGTTGCTTCAAGCTTCTGCTGACCTCCCCACCACGGTGGACCAAACCTTGTGCTATGGGCCAGCACAAACCCTATTTCCCTTAAATTGCTTTGTCAGAGTATTTTACAACAGCAAGAGGAAAAGAAGCCAGTCATGGAGATAGGGCAAAGTGGATCTCTGAGTTCAAGGCCAGCCTGTTTTACATAGTGAGCACTAAGTTACACAGTAAGAGACCCTGTCTCAAAAGTAAATAAATAAAATAAAATAAAAAATAAGTGGAAATCAGGCAGTGGTGGCACACACCTTTAATCCCAGTATTTGGGAGGCAGAGGCAGGTAGATCTCCAGCCTGGTCTACAAAGTGAATCCAAGTACAGCCAGGACTGTTACACAGAGAAACTCTGTCTCAAAAAACAAAACACAAAACAAAACCAAAAATTATTCATGGGCCAGGCATGGTGGTTAATGTCTTTAATCCCAGCTTTCAGAGGCAGAAGCAGGTGGATCTCTGTGAGTTCTAGGCCAGTCAAACAAAACAAAACAAAACAAAGTGTGTGTGTGTGTGTGTGTGTGTGTGTGTGTGTGTACATGTCACAGCATAACAGGTGGAAGCCAGAGGACAACTTGGTAGAGTTAGCTCTCCCCTTCTAAAAGGTCTTGTTTTTATTAACAATTTTAGATTTCCCACCTTTTCCCAGCAGGCAAAAATGTCACTTGGATCAATGGGCTGAACAGTCAGTCTGTCAGATGGCAAAGATACATGTTGAAGGCCTGACCATTGATGTGACAGTGTCAGAGATGGGGAAATAAAGAAGGCTATAGAGTTTAGATAATGTCATGACAGTCTTGGTGTACTCATAAAAGAAACAGATCAAAGCTTGCCTTCCTCACCAACATGAAGAAACAGGATGAGGGCCTCACCAAGAGGCCCTGCTCAAGTCCCTGATCAGAAAATTGAAAAATGAATGTCCATTCATTAAGCCATCTAATTTTAGCTGTTTTGTTTACAATGGCCTGATCTGATAAATCCACTAGTTTATGGTGTTTTAAAACTTCCAGTATTTATCAAGTCTTAAACATTTTTTAAGACTCCTTAGCTGGGCTGGAAATGGCTCAGCAGGCAAGAGCACTGACTGCTTTAATCCCAGTGCTTGGGAGACAGAGGCAGGCAGATCTCTGTGAGTTCGAAGCCAGCCTAGTCTACAAAACTACACTGAGAAACCCTGTCTGGAAAAACAACACAAAACAAAAAGACTCCTTAATTGACTGAGATTAAATAGATAAGCATTTCTAGCCCAGAGCTAGAGAGATTCTCAGTGGCTAAGGAGTGAGTAAGTAACCCTATTGCTCTTCTGAGGACCCAAGTTCAGACACCAGCGCCCATAGCAGATGGTTGGAAAACACCTGTAACCCCAGCTTCAGGTGATCTAACCCCTCTAGTTCTCCTCAAGTACACTATAGATAGCCCTGGTGGCATGTACCATGGGTTCAGTCACCAGCACCACTTAAAACCACACAACATGGTAGTACAGACTGAAGAGAGATTCACAAGTTCAAGTCAACCTGAGCTATATAGTGAGACACCATCTCAAGCAACAAACAAACCACTAAAACAAAACATACAACACAAAAAAAGAAATCCAAAACCTAATTTCTTTTTTCTTTTCTTGAGACAGGGTCTCTTTACATATTCCTGACTGTCCTGGAACTCACTATGTAGACCAAGCTAGTGCGAACTCAGGAGACCCACCTGTTTCTGCTTCCTAGTCCTGGGATTAAAGGTGTGCAGTGCCCCCAAAACCAGCCCAGTGCTAATTTCAATAGATGAATTTATGAATGCATTTCACCAGTAATGACGAAAACTGAAGTGGTGACGCTAACTGAAGCTAAGTGTGCCTACCTCCTCCTCTTCTGCCACTTGAGATTCCCGAAGAGCTGTGGGGAATACTCGAGGGGTAAAGCTGATTTGAATGCTGCCAGCCGATCGAGGAGCAGGAATGCTGTCTTCTTTTAACTTCTCAGAAAATATGTTTTCCCAGTTTCTCCCTTCAGAAGCAATAGTAGTGAAATAAGTCATTTATTTTCCATTTCTAATTAACAAATTGACTTTTAAGATAACTATACATCAAAGCTAATTCTAAAATTAGTAATAAATAACAAATAAATAATAAAAATTAATAAGTAAATGACAAAATAAAACATGGCAAAGACAGGGCCAGTGAGATAGGTCAGAGGGCAAAGCTGCTGCTGTACAAGCATGGCAACTGGACCACATAAAAGTTAAAGGAACTGGGTGGCTTTTCAGATCAGCTCTCAGGGGCAGAAGCAGGCTCATCTCTGTGAATTCAAGGCCAGACTGTTCTACATAGAGAGTTCCAGGCTACCCAGGGTTCTTGAGACCAGCCTGGTCTACAAGAGCTAGTTCCAGGACAGCCTCCAAAGCCACAGGGAAACCCTGTCTCGAGAAAAAAAAAAAAAAAGATACTCTGCATTAACATGGCAGCTAGTCTATTATTTAATCAATGACCCACTACTTCTCTGGGGTTCACAGTTGAGCCTCTGTCTAGTTCATATCTACTCTGGGGGAGGCACACTATGCAAAGCCATTACTGCCATGCCTCCTCCAATCCCTCAGCCCACAGCCGTGTCTCTATACACTTCCTAGAGAAGGTGAGTGAGAAAGCAGCAACAATGCTAACAGAAGGCAGACATTCTTTTAAGTGTGTGGGCAGATTCGATGACAACCAAGCCATGTGCTGGGATGTCATCTATAAAGACAAGGAAGGAAAGCTGTCACATAAAAACACTAAAACACCTAAATAGGACACATAGACTTAGGCAAACATTAAAACAGGTGGGAATCCCTGGTGCATGAATGGACTTCAGGAGCCCATTTCCCATGAAGGGATACTCTCTTAGCCTAGATAAACAGAGGGAGTGCCTAGGCCCTGCCCCAAATGACTTGACAGATTTTAATGATTCTCCCTGGGGAGAGGATGGGATGGGATGAGAGGGTTGTGGGGGGCATAGGAAGATGGGAGGGAGAGAGAACTGGGAATGATATGTAAAATAAGATTGTTTCCAATTTAAATAAAATTTATAAACAAAGAAAAATATACTCTATACTTTATTAGTATATAAAACAAAAAAGAAATGATTAAACATAAAAAAACAGGTGGGAAAAGGATTTCAAGACAAAAAGACTCAGACTAATACACATGAGAGAAAATGAATACATATAAGAAAAACAAGATGGAGTTGGAGAGATGGCTGAGAGAGATGGATCCTGGAGTTATAGACAGTTGTCAGCTGCCATATGGGTGCCGGGAATTGAACCCAGGTCCTCTGGAAGAGCAGTCAGTGCTCTTAATCACTGAGCCATCTCTCCAGCCCACACAAATACTTTTTTTTGGGGGGGGGGACAGGGGAGATTCAACACAGGGTTTCTGTGTGGCTTTGGAGGCTGTCCTGGAACCAGGCTGGTCTTGAACTCACAGAGATCCGCCTGCCTCTGTCTCCCGAGTGCTAGGACTAAAGACGTGCGCCACCACCGCCTAGCCACAAATCATTTTTTAAAAAAGATTTTTTACACAGAGAAACCCTATATTGGAAAACTAAAAATAAAGGAAGGAAGGAAGGAAGGATAGGGACATTTTCAGCTGTGTAGGACATTCAGGACAGCTTGGACTACATAAAATGTTGTCTCAATTAAGTGTGTGTGTGTGTGTGTGTGTGTGTGTTGGGTTTAGCTCAGGGTCTATAAGCTTGCCCAGAAAAGCACAAGGCCTTGGACTTGGTCCCCAGTTGTGAGGAAAAAATAAGAAAAAAACTTGCTTGAGACATGGTGGTGCATGCCTAAAGTCCCAGCAATAGAGAAGTGGAGGCAGGAGGATCAGAAGTTCAAGGTCATCCTCAGCTATGCAACAAGTTTGAGGCCAGCCTCAAAACAAGTGAAAGCAAAGAAGATAAATAGTTGTCTTTCTTGTTCTCTGATTGCATCATTATACCAATTGTGTGGTTCCTGTCCTCTAACCCATCCTCTACCTAATAAGTTCCTAGTGTCTACTCTTGTGTTTTGCTGCTTTCAGTGTCTCCCTACACTAAGTATTTATGGAACGTACGAAATGACTACCATATGGCCTGTAATGCAAACATTGGTGGTTGAGGCCAGGATATCATACATTCCCGGATGCCCAGACCACACAGCAAAACCCCTCAGAAAAGGTCTTTCATCTCTTTGTATTGTATTGCTCATTCTTAATATACCAGAGCATGGCCTATGCCTGCAAAAAGGAAAAGGACAGGAGGCACCATACCTCTTCCAGGGAGTCGAGTAGGTGGGACCTTCCTGGGCAGACTTGGGGGCTTTATTGCTCCCTTCTCTTCAGCTTGCTTTCCCCGTTGGCATTTCTCTTTCCTTGGGATTCTTTTTGGCTCTTCAGCTTGTCTTTGACATTCTTTCCAGGCTTCCAATTCTCTAGTTGCTTTTTTCCGTTCATTTTCTTTCATATCTTCTATTTTTTTTCTCTCTTCTTCCTCAATCTGTTAAAATTATAATTAGCAAGTCCTTTAGAACATTTAGAAAGCAACAGCTGTGCATGTGTGATGAGTGGTGTGGTGTGTGCTTGTGTTCATGTGAGTGTCTGCACCTCGGGATGAGAGCCAATGCCACCGCACCAGGTTTTAATTTGCACTGAAACAGTAGATCCCCAGTCGACTCTACAGAGCTGTGTGACTGGCACTCTCCTGATAACTGAAGGGCACCAAATGGGCAGGCCCTCATTCCCCCTGCACTTCACTTCCCAAGAGTGTGCGTGTAGGAGGATGTCCTGGGGGGGGGAGGGTGACATGTGAAATGGTGGGACAGTTCACAGGTCAGAGGCCAAGAAGCTGGTGGTGTAGCTCAGTTAGCTGAGTGTTTGCCTAACACTTGGGACAACCTGTTTTGTTTTGTTTTGTTTTGTTTTGTTTGGAAATAGTGTTAAGAAGCCAAGATTGACCTCAAAATTAAGCAGCCTCCAGAGGACTGGTTTTATGCTACCACACCTGGTTGTTTTTCTTTCTTTCTTTTTCTTTCTTTCTTCCTTTCTTTTTCTATTTTTTTTTTTAACAGGGTCTCACTACATAGCTCTGACTGGCCTGGAATTCACCATGTAGACCAGGCTGGTCTTGAACTCAGAGTTCTGCCTGCCTCTGCCTCCTGAGTGCTAAGATTAAAGGAATGGGTCACCATGCCTGGAGTTTTTCATTTCAAGTGTGTGTGTGTGTGTGTGCGCGCGCGCGCGCGCGTGCGCGCCCTTGGGTGTGGGCATGGGCATAGGCATGCTATGGGGTATGTGTGAAAATCAGAGGACAACTTGCAGAATTGATTTTCTCCTTCTACCTTGCATGTCCTGAGGATTGAACATAAAACACCTTTATACTCTGAGCCCTGAGTTAGTTTTTGAGAAACTCTGTTGTTGTAAATGCTGAGGAGCCACAGATCTCTCTCTGGCTTTCTGTCTTGCTGTGTGACCTGTCTTACACACTGCATCTCCAGCAAGCAGATGAGCTATCTCATCTTTGACTTCCAGCCTCCAAAGCTGTAAGCTAAGGAAATACCTTTCCTTTATAATGTTGCCCAGCCTCACATATTTTTCTTGTTTCATCATCGCTGAGCACTAAATTGCTGCCTCCAGCATGCTAAGGGGGTGCTCTGCCACTGAGCAACTCCCTAGGAATGTTGTCATAGTAATGAAAAACAGACCAGGGTGTCTGCCTAACTAAGGCTTACACACTAGGGACCAAAGACAGTAATCCCTGCATGCTGGCAGCCAGAGAGCTGCCAACGGGAGACACCAGGCCATCTGCACACGACAAAAAGTAAACTCTGTATTTATATGCCTCACAAAAGGGCACCATGAAGTCAGAGAGAACACCACAATCTGAAAGATAACAATTTGCTCCATTTAATAACATGTATGGTGACCCACGCCTTTAATCCCAGCACTCGGGAGGTAGAGGCAGATGGTTCTCTGTGAGTTCAAGGCCAACCTGGTCTACAGAACAAGTTCCAGGACAGCCAAGGCTACACAGAGAAACCCTGACTTGAAAAACAAAACAAAACAAAACAAAACAAAAGTATGTATTGCAACCGAATATTTGTGTACACTGTAAAGATTGGTCTCTGCCTAAGGCACTTTCTGATTGGTTTAACAAAGAGCTAAATGGCCAATAGCTAAGCAGGAGAGGATAGGCAGGATTTCCAGGGAGAAAGAGGAAGAGGAGGAATCTAGGCACTCAGATTTCACAGAGACTCTGAAGAAATAGGACATACGATACAGAACAGAGGTAGCTGAGCCACATAGCCAAATGTAAATTAAAAGAGACAAGTTAATTCAAGTTCTAAGAGCTAGTTGGAAAAAAAGCCTAAGCTAAGGGCAAACTTCCATAATTACTAATACATCTCTGTGTCTTTATTTGTGAGCTAAGGACCTCACACCACACTCTCCCAGTCACAACACCCTCCATTATGTTCTTCATGGAACAGTGTTTGTTTATAAAATCTGTAATCATTTCCAGATGCCAAGATGAGAATTAAAGAAAGGAAAGTATTTGTAAACTGGACAGAATTACTTAAACAGAGGCAGAAGATTATTAGCATTTGTCTAGAACCAGAAGTTGGGGAGACAAGGTCTATGTGGCCCTGGCTGTCCTGAAACTCACTAGATATGTAGATCAGGCTAGCCTTGAACCCAGTGATCTTCCTGTCTCTGCCTCCTGAGTGCTGGGATTAAACAGGTGTAGAGATGTACCACCGAGACCAGCTTCTTTTTTTTTTTTTTTTTTTCAAGATAGGGTTTCTCTGTGTAGCTTTGGAACCTGTCCTGGAATTTGCTCTGTAGACCAGGCTGACCTCAAATTCACAGATATCTGCCTGCCTCTGCCTTCTGAGCACTGATTAAAGTCATGTGCCACCCCAGCTGTTGACAGCTTGAACTTCTGATCCTCCTGGTTCACCATCCTGAGTAGCTGGATAGCCTGCACTTCCACATCTGGCTGAACTGCTCGTCTTTTCCCGGCTCACCACCATCTCCTTCAGCAAGTCCCCTGGAGGTCTCCCCCTCACCTTCATCATCACACCTAGTGTGTATCTCTGATCTTCCCGCTTGGCAGCACTTTTTGCTTCTGTGGCCTCTTTTGCTTTCTCCTGTGCTTGCAGAATAGATTTTTCTCTTATTCTCTGCATCATCTCTTTGTCAACTGCAACATAAGGAAAAGTACTGCATTGGTGTGAAAGGTGTCAGATCCCAGGGAACTAGAGTTACAGACAGTTGTGAGCCACCATCAATCTTCTGGAAGAGCAGCCAGTACCCATAACCGCTGAGCCATGTCTCAGTCCCAGAAGGGAATGTTTTTGAGATAGCATCTTTTACATGGCCCAGGGTGGTTTTACAGCTGTGGTCCTCTTAAGAGCTGTGAGTATAGCCAGGCAGTGCTGGCACACACCTTTAATCCCAGCACTGGGGAGGAAGACGCAGTTGGATCTCTGTGAGTTTGAGGCCAGCCTGGTCTACAGAGTGAGTTTAAGGACAACCAAGGATACACAGAGAAATCCTGTCTTTGGGAGGAAAAAAAAAAAAAACAATGACCAAACAAACAAGCAAAAAAGAGCAGAGGTCTTTGGGGTCACCATAATGCCTAGAGTAAAAATTCTTCTCTCCGCCTTGAGTCAAGGTTTCATGTAGTCCAGCTTCCCCAGTGCTCGGATTACAGGTACATACTGAGCTCTCATGAAAGACACCCAGCTCAAGTAAACAACTTTCACTAAAAACTTACTATCTGGCATCGAGAGGGTCTCCCACATAACTGGTTCCTTTTTATACAATGTAAAGAGAATCATGTCATTCCCAATCTTGGCTTTGCTATTCCCATCATCTATGGGAGCATAGAGAAACACCTCAAATAAAAATGGAGAAAAGTTGACCTGTTCAGAAGAGAGAAAGCAGACATTAAGTTAGTTGCACAAATTAAAGACACTGCCATTAAAAACCAAGTCTGGGTTGGAGAGACGGTTCAGTGGTTAAAAGCATTTTTTTTTTTTTTTTTTTTGGTTTTTCAAGACAGGGTTTCTCTGTGTAGCTTTGGAGCCTATCCTGGCACTCGCTGTGGAGACCAGGCTGGCCT